CTAAAATATATTCATAATTTGTGTGTAAAAACACCGGCCACGTCATTTTGGTACAGTGAATTGATTTCTTTAAACAATCTGAGTTTAGAGAAAGCAATCAAGCCACAATCACAAAGTAAAAGCTATAGGAAAAGTTAATCTTTCATTCTTGTGGTTCTACTTCTTTAATTTATCCTGTACTTAAATATATTTTAGTAAAATAGGTGAATTTTGATTTTGATTTTTGTGAATTTTTTTTATATTTTTCATCTTATTAAAATTTATAAATATTATTTGTAGTTCTATTAAAATGAACAAATTTTAATTTTAAATTATTGTAAAATATATTTTTATTTTTAACATATAAAACTTAATTTTTTTTCATCATTTCAAAATAAATAAATATATAATAACATTTATTTTAAGAATCTTAAATTTTTTTTTAAAAGGAGTTATACTACACCCTCCGAATTGCATTACCGAATTATTACCTGAAAGGTTAAATGTTAAAAATATTAACTTAAATTATTATTTTTATTTTAAATTAACCGACAGAATATTAAAGTTTAAAGTTCAAAAGAGTTTTTGGGGTTTGAAATTCGGAGGACGCAGCATTTTAAAAGTATCGCTTGATAATATTTAATAATTATACTTTTTTTTTTTAAAAAAATGATCACAAATAATAGTTCTAACTTTTAGAGAAAAAAAATAAGACAATTTTTTTTTATAACAAAATCAAAACTGACTCAGGTAATTTTTTTAATCCTTTATTATATTATTTTTACTCGGGGAAGGATTTGATTTATGAGATTGTTTTTTAGTTTTCTTTTGCTTTTTATAAAAAGTTCTTTACAATTTATAAAACAACGTGTCGCTTTTATATGAAGCTGAGGTCCAATCACTTCAGCGTGCCATGCAAGTGCAACTAGAAACTAGAAAGTTTTATATAGGTTGGTCTAATAGAAAGAAACAAAATATACTCCTATGGTGATCTTTCTCTCTCTATCTCTACGTATATGTATTTTTCTATCCGTATAATTTATCTAATGTGAGTTTTGAACCATATTTTGATCCCTTTAGAGGGCCAATGTTGTTTATCCATATGTTGGACCTGTCTATGCAATAATTGAGAAATCTATGCAGAAAATTAAAGATTAAAAAAAAATGTATTCTTTTGTCTGGTTTCTCTAATATTTTCCGATATTGCCCCATAAAACATTGTTTCTTTCTTGACTTCTGTTGAATTGGTGTTTGTTTATCAGGAAGAATTGCATGCCGATTAAGTTCATGAATTCATGTTGGTAACTTTGGAGGACATTGTCAATGCGTTGTGTGGCAAGAAGCTGAGAATTTGATCTTGATATTGGCCTATTGAGTAACCTTAGTGACATTATTGGAACCACTTAAATGAGTTTTTGAATTATTTTTTTTTTCTTTTCATATACATGATCTACGCACGCAGTATCTAAAACTGATAAAGGCCTAATCTACGTCCACCAAATAAATTTCTGATAGTTAAGCATTATTTTAACAACACAGTCTAAGCATTTTGAGTTATAATGGCGATGGCTGAGTAAGAGCAATAGTGTAACTACACTATCTCTTGGACTTGTATTCCTGGGCCTACATGCAACTCTTGATGGATGAAAACGAAGGGTTCTTCTGATTCTGGGTATATCCTTGGCAGAATTTTTCAGTTCAAAGCCTTAGTTAGTTTTGGAGGCTCGGATAGGACCCCAAGGCGTCACTTCTCCTGATAGAAACCCCTTTCTCTTGTGAGGCTTCACAAGATTCTGGCTCCATGAATTAAAGAGACAAGGTTGTGTTTGCTCAAGGTGATCAGCATGAAAACCTTGGTGGTTTTTCTGGTGTATGTGATTGTGAGGATAAATTAGGGGTTGACCCTTTTGTTTGTGCTATAGAATGGGTGATACCAACTTGAGGCTGTGGCTGGATAAACCTGAACGATCAGTGAATGTCTTTGAATGCTTGCACATATTTAGGCAAATAGTGGAAATTGTTCATGTAGCTCATTCTCAAGGAATCGTTCATAATGTGAGGCCCTCCTACTTTGTCGTGTCATCTTTCAACAATGTCTCATTTATTGAGCCAGCAACTTGTTCAGATTGTGGCTCAGATGCTTTAGAAGAAGCTGTTGAGATTAAAACTCCAACGCCTCCTACTCTGGGAAGGGAAGATTTTCTACCTGTCAAGACTTCAACAGCTTATTTGTCAAACTCTAGTTGCATGTTGTCAAGTGTGGTGTTTTCAGCGCCTGCATTGTTGATAGATGAAACAGAAGAAAATGAAATGGAAAAGAGGAGAAAGGGTGAGGAAGTTGAAGGAAAGAAGCAACCATTTCCAATGAAACAGGTACTGCATATGGAGGAAAGTTGGTATACTAGTCCTGAAGAGGTAGCTGGTGCTCCAAATTCCTCTGCTTCAGATGCTTATCGGTTGGGAGTTCTCCTTTTTGAGGTTCATTCACAACAAAAATATGCAAATGTTGTTTACGTTGTTAGATTTTAGTTCGGTGCTTTTGATATGTTTTTTCTTCTTTTCCTTGTTATTCTAATGGAAGCAAGATAATGTTTTCAAACATCCTATGTATTTTCTATTTCAATTTAGTGTTTGCTTGAATACAATTTTAGAAATGCTTTTGAGAGATTCTCTACCGAAAAAAAAACTCTTTATTTTTAGTAGAAAAGTTGCTCAAAAGTTCTTTTAAACTTGTATAGTTGTATCCAAACAGACTCTTATTCTAACTCGAGTATTGTACTTGTGATCAGCTATTTTGTCCACTCGGCTCAAGAGAAGAAAAGAACAGAACCATGTCTAGCCTAACACATAGAGTTCTTCCTCCTCAGTTACTTCTAAAGTGGCCTAAAGAAGCTTCATTTTGCTTATGGTTATTACATCCTGAGCCTAAAAGTCGTCCAACATTGGCGTAAATTCTCTTTATCACATGCCTTTTACACATCAAATTTCCAAATTGTTTGTGACATGTTCCGATTACTGGCCACTTGTATGCATTCTTTTCTTTTACCTTTCTGTTAACCAATTCCTTAACTTTTAATTGGAGGGTCGAGACTCAGCTAATTGAATAATCATTTTGAATGAATTAAGATCCTTAACCTGGTTTTTCATATAGGCCAAGACTACAATTAGATCTTTAGGTTGTTTAGGGTTTAAGGTCTGTGATCTATATTTCTCCTTGATGGACTTGACATGGTGTTTGTCTTGTTTAGATGTTAGATTACAGGTAAAAGAAGAGCAACCAAACATGTGAGGTAGAAAAGAATACACAGATTGAGTTAAACATATAGGAAATAAAACAGAAAAGAGAATCGGATTTTGCATAATTGAAAATGACATGCAATCAATTAAATAGCATGTAGGGAGAACCATATCCCCCTCAAAATGCAAAAGGACATGATTGTGCCGCAGTGAAGTACAAGTAATCTCAATCAAATGACTATTTTCATACTTGGTAATGCCAACTGGGTGATGTTTCAACAATTTGCATCTGAATTTGTGATTGATTCTATAGTAAACATTATTATTATTATTATTATTAATATTATCTTTATCATGTGTTGTAGGGAGTTGTTGCAGAGTGAGTTTCTTAATGAACCAAGAGATGATATAGAGGAGTGTGAAGCAGCAGTAAAACTTAGAGAAAGAATAGATAATCAGGAGTTGTTGCTAGAATTCCTTTCAATAATTCAACAGAAAAAAGGGGAAGCTGCTGAGAAGTTGCAACATACTATCTCTTTTCTGTGTTCAGATATTGAAGAAGTAACTAAGCATAAAACTATATTTAAAGATATAACTGGCACTGGACTAGGGTATGATGATTGTTCAACATCCGTTACAGTTATTGATAATGATGAGGATTTTGCTGGTCTAGGGACCAGAAAACGGGTTAGACATGATCAGGGTATTGATGACACTGAAGGGTGTGATCATAACATAGGTGATGATGAGAAAAATGATGGAGGTGTTCTTTCAAAAAGTCCACGGTTTTTGAAGAATTTGGAGAAACTAGAATCAGCATATTTTTTGACACGAAGCAGATCAACCTATTCTAGAGAATCTGTTATTGTGACTGGAAGGAAATGTGTCAACAAAGTAGCATCAAAAGAGCAGTGTAGGGAGGGCAAAAGTCCTTGGAAAAATCCATTTCTTGAGGGTTTGTGCAAGTACCTATCTTTCAGCAAGTTAAAGGTTAAGGCTGACCTGAAACAAGGGGATCTTTTGCAGTCTTCTAACCTGGTGTGCACACTCAGTTTTGACCGCGATGCAGAATTTTTTGCTACTGCAGGAGCAAATAAGAAGATCAAAGTTTTTGAATGTGATACAACCATCAATGAGGATCGTGATATCCACTATCCAGTAGTGGAGATGGTTAGCAGATCAATATTGAGTAGTACATGTTGGAGTACTTATATCAAAAGTCAAATCGCTTCAAGTAACTTTGAAGGTGTTGTACAGGTAGGTCAACGCCTATCAATCTCTACATGAAATGTAATCAAGCTTTATTAACTCTTTCTTACAAATTAAAAAACTCGACTACATGTTGTTGGAAGCTCTCACATCATTTGCCTCAACTTTTGAGATGCAACTTATATATTTGTTGGGTAACTTCACTTTCTGTCAATTGATTTTAAGATGGAATCAAATATAATATCAAAACCTATAGCCCATTTTGGGAAATTGCCTATTCTAGTAGGATCACCTATTTTGGCTGACATTTGTGGAGGGGGGTGTTGGAAGCTCTCACCTCACCTGTCTCAATTCTTCGGGTATAGTTTATATATCTGTTGGACAACTTCACTTAATGCCATTTAGTTTTAAGATGAAATCTAATATGGTATCAGAATCTATAGCCCATCTTGGTAAATAGCCAATTATGGTAAGCTCGCTTGTTCTGGCAAGCCTTTGTTGAGGGGAGTGTTGGAAGCTATCACATTGCCTGCCTCAATTCTTTGAGTGCAACTTATATATCTGTTCGAAAACTTCATTTATTGTGAATTGAATTTAAGATGGAATCTAACACATGTAATGTAGAGATTAGTTGGGATCATGGACACATGGTAGTCCTAGACTGAGTAATAATGTCTCATTGACGCATAGTTTGTCTATGATTTCTATTGCAATGATTTTACCTTACCATTTATCTTGTTTCAGTTATGGGATGTGACAAGGAATAAAGTGCAGTCTGAAATGAGGGAGCATGATCAAAGAGTATGGTCCATTGATTTCTCATCAGCAAACCCTACATTGTTAGCAAGTGGGAGTGATGACGGTTCTGTCAAGCTATGGAATATCAATCAGGCAATCAGAACCAACATTATTTTTGCATTTTTTATGTGTTTTATTTTTGATGTATGATGGGTTGTTTCCCTCACCTGTGCTGTTACTGCAGGGAGTTAGTGTTGGTACCATCAAAACAAAGGCAAATGTGTGTTGTGTTCAGTTTCCCCTTGATTCTGCTCACTTCCTCGCATTTGGTTCAGCAGAACATCAAATATATTACTATGATCTTCGCAACCTGAAGGTGCCTCTTTGTACATTAGTTGGACATAATAAGACAGTGAGCTACATCAAGTTTGTAGACACCATGAGCCTAATCTCTGCATCCACAGATAACACTTTGAAGCTTTGGGATTTGTCCATGTGTGCTTCTCGGGTTATAGACTCACCAATTCAATCATTCACTGGTCATATTAATGTTAAGGTACATTTGTTGACAACAGTAATTTGTCTCTTCTGTGGCAAATGAAGAAGCTTTGACAAAATATTTTAAGGAACGGTATTACTAGAAATGAAGATTATAGGCTTTGATACCAAAGCAACAAAAATGTACTATAGGTTTGATACCATAAGAATAACAAACCGACTAGCCTAATATTGGGTAACATAAATGAACTAAATGTTGGGTGATAAAATGCCAACAAGAGGATAAATTTAGTGCAACATAAATTAGAATATTGTGTTGGATAAGTGGACATACTAGAAAAGATAGGATTAGGATTAATACATTAAAGAGATAGGGTAGCACATATTGTACAAAATTGGTAGAATCTCTCTAGTCTTAGGTGGTTTGGACATGTGTGAAGAAGATTTGGTTGGGAGAGTAGATTGGATGGAGGGTATCTCTAGCGATAGAGGTAGAGGGAGATAAGAAAAAACTATAGGCAAAATCATTTAGAAGTATTTAGAAGCCAATAGTTTGTCTATAGATTTGATTCAAATAAAACATTATGGTGTCATTTGATCTATGTAGCCGACTTACTCAGTAAGAAGAAGGCTTGGTGGTCGTTTTAGTTCCTCAATTTGGATGGTTTTTTGTTCTTTAAGATCAGTTTCTTTCTTCAGTAATGGGGTAAAAATATCCTGTAACATGAATAATGAAAGTATGCCTAAGAAGTTTCTTAGAACCCCTTCTGACAATGACAGGAAAATTCAATGATTTAGCTTCAATCTTTATGAATCACACAACCTTTGGAGGATAGAGCTTTAAGATCATTATCTGTTTTAACAATTTTGCATGTGATTTTCCTTAGTTTTTCTCCAGCTTTTCTTGTTGTGGCCTCTATGGGTCTTTGACTCTGTATGACCAGACCATCTTGGGTGAGATTTTATTATATTTTCCTCAATAAATGCTACTCCAACTTTTTCTTCTATACATTCATTCTTGATCTTTGATCAGTTGTTCTAGAGTAGCTTGCCTGTGGTGGTGTTTGAGATCCATATGTTGTTCAAAATTAATTGGTGGGTCTGCAAGTAGGTGACTAAATAGTGAATGCACAAGTGCTATATGCAAAATTTAGGAAATTTATAATAATTATTGCAAATTTTATGTGTAGTGTTCAATTTTTTGTGTAATATGCTGATGCATCTTCCTTTTGTTGCAGAATTTCGTGGGGTTGTCTGTATCTGATGGTTACATTGCTACTGGTTCAGAGACAAACGAGGCATTTCATTTGTCCTATTTCATTAATTTATTAGTTATCTTTGATAATGAGTTCCTTTCATGTTAATTTTCTAAATGTGCCATTAGAAGAATATTGCTTATGCATACCTTTTTAATAGATTCTATGATCAAGTTGTTGAAATATAGGAATTAGCAGGAGAAGAGAAAAAAAAAATTTCAGTAATTCCACTAATAAGGACTATATGAATAATAATGATTCTATGGTATGAACCACTAGCCTTATACTTCTATCTTTTGGACTAATAGACTCAAACCTCATGCATTTTCTATTGAAGTTTACTGTATTAATTAAGGTCTTATTCTATGTTAATTAGGTGTTCATATATCACAAGGCTTTTCCCATGCCAGCATTATCTTTCAAATTTTACAGTAAGGACCCTCTTTATGGGAATAAAGTGGATGATGATTCTTCACAGTTCATCACTTCCGTTTGTTGGCGTGGTCAATCCTCCACCTTACTTGCTGCAAATTCCACAGGGAATGTTAAAATTCTGGAGATGACTTAAGTTGGAGAAATGATACAATTTTTTATACAGGAGGTGACAGAATCATTGTTCATGGTTAGCTTTGTGTTGCCAGAAAAGGCTATAGAGAAGTGTACACAAATTCCATGGTTACATGTTACAAAATTTTGCATTGGAACACATCAGAAGCAGTGAGAGGAAAAAGTGAGTTGATCTCTTCAAAAATGTTTTGTAGATAAAATTCTACATTGGAAGAAAAGAAAAGTAAAAAATATACATTAGATTGTCTTAACGTTGTGATTCATATTCAATTTATAGATACATATTTATGGGCTCTATTTCCACAAGCTCAGACTTTTGGCTCCTCCATGTTCAGTCCAATTTGTCCAAGAATAGTTGTTATCATGACAAGTCCAAACACATTGATGTAAAAACATCACTTTATTTGAGATGCTATTGTTGTTGGTAAAGTTGTGGTTAAAAAGATTCACATATCTAAGAATCTGGTAAGTATACTTCTCAAGCCACTTTATATGACAATGAGTAGTTTATTGAATTCAAGCAAGGTGGAGATTGTTAAGTGGATGGCTCAAATTCCTTTTACCATCATTGAAACAGAAGGTTAACATTTTTTTTTTTTTTTTATGGCTTGAAATCTCCCTTATCACCTATAAAAGGTGGTTAAACTGTTTGAGATTTTCATCAACTCATAAAAACATCAATTCATTTTATTTCCATTCTTTAAAATATATTATTCGCATGAAATATGCATCGACTTAATAGGATCCTAACTAAAAATTTATTTTTCTATATATAAAATGTAAATTAGATTATATAAATTTAATTTGAAGAGCGACCTCTCATGTTTCTCACTAAATTACTCATTATTTATATTTCTTTTCTTCTCTATTTTGAATATGAATTTATTAAGAGTGTTTTTAGTGAGACATTTGAATAATTATAAGTTTATTTAATTAGCTTACAAACTAGTTTAATTAAAATAAACTTATTTGGTAAGAAAACTTATTTTAGAACTTTAAAATTTATTTATATAAATTAATGGAAGTAACTTATAACTTATAAAATCTCAACTTTTTATTCTCTTTATTTTTTTCATTTTCATTAATTTAATTGAAATATTTCTTTTATCTTTATTAATTTAGAAATCATTTTTACGCATCTTATTCTTTTAGGTAGTTTATGCAGTGTGTGATGATCTAATAGGCACGTCATGGAACAAACCTATTGACAATATTGGAAATAAAAAAAAATATGCACTTTTACAAAATCAAGGATCAAATTAAAAAAATAATTTTTTTTTTTATCTATGTAGTTTTATAAATCTTACCTTTTAGTTTCTACTGTGAAAAAATGTTTCATTTTAGTCTCTTTACATACCATTTTATCTTCTTTTTAATTTATATTGTCAATTTTTATAAGCATTATAAGAAAAAGTTTATGCAACTATAAGGACATAGAAAAAACAAAATGATATATATAAAGATTAAAATGAAATATTTTTTAAATATAAGGATTACAAAATAAGATTCATGAAACTATAAGTATTGAAAGGGCAATCAAATTAAAAAAAAAATAAAATAAAATAAAATTGTAAGTCTAAAATCAAAATAGACTAATTTTTCTAGGACAAAAAGCTATCTAAGCCAAAAACAAAAAGTTTGACCCTTTTCCATCTTAGGTAGTAAATATGGTGACATGTGGCAACTTTGGCTAAGTTCATATCTAAGATTGATGTGCCCTACAAGTTAAGAATAAGGTGCTGGATGATGGGAATTTTTTACGTAAATAATATTTTTTTTAAATTACAAAAATAACATCTGTGCAACTTTATTTACTCAACTAGAATCAATCACTGTTCATGCTCAGAATTCGGCTCTCGGGTAACCGAATTCTGTGCTTCAATATTTTTTTTCATTTTTTTTGTGCTCAGAATTCGGTTCCCCGGGAACTGAATTCTAAGTTGTTTTTTTTTTTTTTTTGCGTTTGAGGCCCAGTTTGGGCGAATCTGGAAATTGGAACGGGCCGTTCCGGAAGCAGAACGGCCCGTTCTGCTTAAACACATAGAGTGTTATTTTTGAAATTGGAACGGGTGCAGAACGGGCCGTATCAATTTCAAAAATAACACTCTATTTGTTTAAGCAGAACGGGTCGTTCTGCTTTCGGAACGGCCCGTTCCACTTCCCAGAAACGCAAAAAAAAATAAAAACAACTCAGAATTCGATTCCCCGAGAACCGAATTCTGAGCACAAAAAAAAAAATTGAAGCTCAGAATTCGGTTCCCGGGAACCGAATTCTGAGCATGAACAGTGATTGGTTCTAGTTGAGTAAATAATGTTGTACAGATGTTATTTTTGTAATTTTAAAAAAAAAATATTATTTATGTAAAAAATTCGATGATGGAGTGACATATCTGGCCATTAAAGTAATTAAGCATCACTCATTCCATTCTTACCATGAGAGTTCCCAATAACATCTATTTACACTGTCTCTGACCAAACTTAGCCATCCAAGTTAGCCTAGTTACAAGGAGACGAAGCCTTTGAGATCCTGGACCAGGTCTGATCTTGTACATGTTCCCAACCTTGGAACATGTGGGGTTGCCAGAACACCAACCACCTGGTGTGAACATTTGTTCCTTTTTCCTATGTAGTAAATTGTTATCAATCACATCCAAGACTGGATCATTGTGCTTAAATTTCCTAGCAAAGGCAGCATTGCTTGCAAACATTTTGTTTGTGTCATTGATGTTAAGGACATGAGGGTGCTGTTTGGGAGGGTTGTCCCATGAAATAAAGTGCAAGTCACTGTTTACAACAGTTTTGGCTAGTTCTGGCTCATTGCATGCAACAGTTTGGAAATAGCCTTCAGGGGAGGAGATGAAATTAGTGTAGTACATAAGAAGGGTCCTTGGTAGATTGTCCCAACCCCATACAACATATTCTACGAATGAGCGTGATAGAACCATCCATGCTGAACCTGCAATTAGGTACCAACTATTATATAACAGAATAACAAAAGGAAAATCACGTAATTGCACTTTTTGTCACCTAAGTTTCACGATTTTGTAAATTTTTTCATTTTGATAATTAGTTGTTTGTTTGCATTAGTTGCATGCTAATATGGCACATTAACCATTGACATGATGTGTTGACCATTGATATGACATATGAATGGTGACGTGATATAATTAGTGTGTGTTTGTTTTTCTGTTTCATTCAACTGAACGTCAATCCATCTCCCTTCTTACTTTTACATTTCTGTCTTAAAAAGTGGAAAAATTCAGTTAAACAGAGTTAGAACGATAAAACAAACACACCCTTAGTAATCAATGTACCATGTCAATAATTAACATATTATGTTAACATTCAACTAACGGAGATAAATGACCAACTTATTGAATAACAAAATGTGAAAAACTTGAAAATTTAACAAAATGTGTCATTTCAAAAGTTGGGTAACAAACTTTATGAAATTGGGAGTTGCTACGGTACCCTCAAAGATGGAAGGGTTTCAATACATTTTTCTATGTAAATTCATAAAAAAAATTTTAAAAAAATTAATTTAATTATAAAATAAATAATCTAAATTATACTTATAAAATAAAAAGTAAGATAAAATTATAAAGATTAAAATTATAAGTTTTCAATAATATTATAAAATATTAAAGAAAAAGAAAAAATTAATAAATAGTAGAAATAAAAAGTTATTAAAATTACAATATAAAAATTCAAAAATTTAAGACAAAAAGACAAAAAATATACTTAAAAAATTATTAAAATTAAAATATAAAAATTCAAAAATTTTAAGTGAAAAGATAAAAATATACTTAAAAAATTATTAAAATTAAACTATTTAAATATATAATAATATTATTACAAATAAATTAGAATATATAAAATAAAAATAAAATGACTAAATAATTTAAAAATTGAAAGGATAAAATATTATAAATATTATTTAAATAAATTACTAAAAATATAAAATATAAAAAACTGTACCGGTACCCTCTCAAATAAGATGGGTACCATAGAATTCCTCTATGAAATTATGAAGCTTGGGTTACAAAAAGTACAATTAAGCCAATAAAAAATGTAAAGAAAACAAAAAATAAGGGCATGTATGATTCTCTTATATCTTTTGGTCTTAAAAACAGTTTTCTAAAGCAATTTCACACTACTTACTATCAATTTCTCATCCAAAAGTTATTAAAGTTTGAAATTATTTCCCAAACTAGTGTTTAAAAGACGAAAAAACAGAAACAACTGGGAGATGTTTTCTCATATTTTTCTTTTGTTTCATCTTGCTCAACCTATCTTTCAATTCCATACTCTACTCTGTGACTAGCACCACCACCACCATCTAACAGTCTAAGCAATCTTATTTATTGCTTTTTGAAAAGTAAAAACAGTTTTTGAAAGTGGAAATCGAACACACCCGAGGTCTGTTTAAAAATGGGTATGGCATCATGTTCTACACATAAAAAAATAAAATAAAATAACTATAAATTCTGATGCAGTTTCTCGAGTATCAAAAGTTAGTCCTGTTGTTATAATGTACTGCCTCAAAAATATGTAATCTACCAAGTAAAAGATGACACATAAGACTTGAAATTTCAACAGTTAGTAAAACTAAACAACAAAATTACATTAGCTGCAGGCGATTGGCTTGGTTCTATTAGACTATTCTCCAAAAAAAAGCATAAGTGAACGATTTGAAATAGTGATCAACTGATAACCTACCAAGGATAAGGAAATAAAGGTGTGAAGGGACAAACTAACCAGTAAACAATTTAAATGCTGTTGGCAAAGTTCTCTTAGGACCAACCCAAAAAACATCAGATTTGTTTGACCTGTAAAGACCTGGGTCTATAATTAAAGGCATCGCTCGCTTTTCCCTGCACAGTTTGGGTCAATTCATTATGTAAATATCAAGATTGCATGTCAAGGCAATAGAACAAGTCATCATTATGTGAATAACTACATATAAAAATTGATTATGTGATATGGAGGGGTAGACAGAGAAACTTACAACTTCCATCCCAAACGGCTTGTGTGCTCAATGAAGTTAAGTCTTCTGTCTACCTCAGAAAAGGTATATAGAAGATCTACACAAACATATAACAATATTAGTCTAGGCCATATTTGAATAAACTTCTCCATTGTCACTAATAGAAAAGGAAAATAAGAAGGTAAAGTGACTTAAAAATTAAAACCAACTTCCATAAGTTAAAATCAACTTATGCACATCATAAGTTGGATCATATTCTCCTTCTATAAAAGTTAAGTATATAAGAATTTTATCTTACAGGACAAGTTTAAATCATTTTACCTTCTTATTATCTTCTTATAAGTACATATAGAGAAGTTTACTCAAATAGAGTCTAAGTGTCTAATAATCATGAGCAAAAACAGTTGCAACCACATATAGTTTGAATCAGAACAAAAAGAAAACTAACCATCCTGAGTCACAAGGGGATAATCAGAAGCACTAAGGTTAATAAACCAATCCCAGTCTTTAGTTCTCTTGAGCAGAATGGCACAAGCATGAAGAGTGTGAGCAATCATGGTTGGTCCCCTATAAGTGACCATATTAGCTTTCTGAATCATGAAAACATTTCCAACCTCAGTGAACACAGGCTGTTTCTCAATTCTAGAAGCAAGCTCCAACCTCATCTCTAGTGGTGATTCAAGGTCCAAATGAACAATATAATGGTTCAAGGGATGGTAAAGGGCTAAAAGAGTTCTCCAAAGCTTCTCCAAGTCATCTTTTGAGCCAGAAATCAGATAAGCGAAGCGAGGAATTGAAGGCATACTAGGAGGTGGAGCAGTAGGTGAAGAAATCTTTGTTTCCACAAAAACTGGAGCAGTTTGGTTTGTGTATAGACGAGATGGGAGAAAGAAGAGTATTGAATTGAAGCTGTGAATTGTAGAGACAAGCCCCATGTTGAAGCATGTTGCAAGAAAGAATATGAACACAATTGAGATCATAATGAGAGGAAATTGCCATTTCTTCTCCACGTTGAAGGACCCCATCATTGAGACTTATCACGGGTTCTTCTTGTTCGATTTTCTCATTCCATAAAATTCACCACCTGGTAGCCACTGAAATGGTTACCATATTTGAGATCTCTTGATTTATCTTCTCTATACGGATGAAAAGAGTGTCTGTTGAATCAACATCGTGTAATCAAGATATGATGAATAAGGATATTAGTTGTTTTGTTTTCATAAACAAAGGAATTACAGTTTCCAAATTCAAACATGTTTAGCACCAATAGAAAAAAAAATCCTTTTAATTGTCAAATACGTATGTAAGCATGTGTGATTGATTCGATGTCACTATGCAATTCCTACCAGTAAGAGACAAATGTGGAGCATAAAAAACATCGAAAAGTGGCAAAAGAATAAAAAACTATAATACTATTGTACTTGTTCTTGTCAATGAGGCATTAAAATAAAGGATAAAAGAAACTGGCCAAATGGAAATAGTAATTGTAAGGTAACAGAGAGAAAAACAAGGATCTAGAACAAATCGATAGGGTAAAATCAATACCAGTTCAGCTTAAGTAGTGACAAACAATTTTGATTCCAAACTCTGTTTTCAAAGGCTTTGGGAAAGAAAATGATCATCAGAAACGGCAAAATGGACAAATCACCAATCACAATTCAACTTTTTTATTGTTGTCTTGCTGAAACATACAAACAACAGAAACAAAAAAAAAAAAAAGTGATGAACACAAGACTGAATATTAAGCTCAAATATGCACGAAACAAAGTGTAGAGGTCATAGAATTTATCATAATCTATATATATATATATATATTATTACATTGATCAATATATAATTCCAAAGGAAACACGAGACACAAACCTGTCTTTGGACATGGAGGCAACAAAACAAAGAATCATGGGATAGCATATAACTGAAATTCAGAGAGAGATTTAATGAGTTATTGGAACGAAAAATGGGTTTCTTTTGTTGTGTTCTGTTTCGCATAATTATTTATACGTGTTTAAGTACAAGAAACTGAGAAAGTGAATCTATTATTTTTTTTATATATGTATATAAATATTAGAGCTGTCAAAGTGGGCCGGGACCCATGGGCCAACCCGGCTCACCTTGAAAACGGGCCGGGCTGGGCCAAAAAAAATTGAAGTTTTATAGTAGGTGGGTATATTTCAACCCGGCCCACTTTGACCCGGCCCACCCGGGCTAAACCCGTGGTGGGCCGGGTGGCCCACCAACCCACCATTTTTTTTTTAATAAAAATTTGAATATGATTTGTAGTTTATTTTGTATGATGATATATTGAAAATTTTTATTTTAAACTTTTATCATGATTTGTATTTAATTTTGTATGATGAATTATGACTTATAACTATTAATGATGTTAATTTTATGACTATTATGTTAATTTATAATTAATTTAAAATTTTGAATTTTGTTAATAATTTTTTTTTAATTTTTGGTGGGCTGGTGGGCTGGCCCGTATAACCCACCAACCCGTGGTGGGCCGGGCCGGGCCAAATTTTTTTTGAAAAAATTACAAGTGGGCCGGGTTGGGTTGGCTCGTTTTTAAAGTGGGTCAAGGTGGGCCGGCCCACATGGGCCATTAGCCCGTTTTGACAGCTCTAATAAATATACATGTAAAAGTTATTTTATTTGAGCTTAGGCATTTCTGTTACTCCAAGGCTCTAGACAGATGATGCTACCTACAATTCAAGCAATATAATTACAGTTTCTTTTATTATGCTTTATACGTGCTTGGTTTCTTTTATATGCTTAGGGAAATGCTAATTGTCACGAAACCATTCATCATCAAATATGCATGATTTGTTTGTCATCAAATCAAACCATAATTCACGTCAACAATCAATACATCACATTAATTCATCTTTTAATGTAATCTTTTATCTTTATTAGTAGATTAATAATATAATAAATTAATTACTGATATAATATATTGACTATCGACATGACGTATTATGTTATGTCATTGTCAGTAATCATATACCATGTTAATAATCGATGTATCATATAAAAAATAAAATTATCACGTTAATATAATAAATTAACGATATTAAATAATTAATTAATAGAATGATAAAATATGTAAAATTTTTGAAAAATAAATGATAAAATATACAATTTTAAAAGTTGAGAGATAAAATTTACAAAATTATGAAATAATTAAGTAAATTTTTAATTATATGTGTACCTGCTTAAGGATACACTCGTAGTCTTCTTCTTACGTACCTTGTTGAGCAGAAAAAGATGAACGATTAACTTTGGGGTGGTTTCCTCCTTTTTCTAGTTCTCTAAGCTCTAAAGATTAAATGCGTACGTGATGAGAAAAATGTAAAGTGTAAAACTGATCAACTTTCTCTTTTTTTTTTTTCTTTTTAAAACTTAACCTCCCTTAAATTCTTTAGTAAAATATGTGAACCATGGTTATCAAAAATAAGTTCCCTTCCATTATTATAAATAATTAAATCATATAACCTTTAATTATAAAACTTCACAATATATATATATATATATATATATATATACATACATACATATATATTCATATAAATAATTACCAATAGTTACTAAATTCAAAATATTTAATTATCACAAATATAGAAGACAATAATAAAATAAATATTAACCAGCTCTTATTAATAAAAATAAAATATCAAAATTATTAATAAAATACCTATGTTATATTTTATAAAAACAGGGTGTTACAGAAGAACCATACTTTTCATCATAACCAAATCCTTGAAATCATGGAGAAAAGCAAAAAATTGCACAATTATAGCTACTTTGTGCTGACATAGCTTCTACAAGCTTTGTTTGGTATGGAAATTTGATAAATAACCTCCTTGATCAAATAAGGGAATGTGAGTTAAACTCAAAATGTTACAACAATCATCTTCTCCAAGCTACTATATAAGAAAACTCAATGCACAAGAAAGAAGAGATAAAAAATATATATAGATACATTTGTACAAAAACATTCTCTATAAAATCTATTCTTTCTTGTAAATATTCATTGCTCTATAATTGGTTGTATAACATCTTTGTAAGACGAACACAAATTTTTTTTAACCTTCAAAACCATTGTTATAAGGTTGAGCCTAGAAAAGCTTGTAAAAAAGAATACTTGTTCTTGAGCATAGAGAGGCTCGACTGTAAAAGAATACTTGTTTGTTAAGCCTAGAGAGACTTATTGTTAAAAGAATACTTGGGTAGTTGCTTAAAAAGGCAAGTCAAAGAATATACTTAGGGTTAAGCCAAAAATAGTTTGTTAAAATAATACTTGTATCTTTGTTTAAAGATAGTAGAACTCAATTTGGTTAGATTAAGAACAGGACATAGTTTCGATGGTTGAGGTGAACTAGTATAAAAATATTCAGTGTTCCATCTAACTACTATTTTTTGCTTCATATGACTAGCATTACTACTTAAGTATAGAAAACGTGCAAGTTTTTAATATATATTATTTAACCCATTTTCTAGTGTTTATCTTTTCTCCACATGTAAAAAGGTGAAGGTAAAACTAATAAACCAAAGCAACCATCTAAAATCTTTACATAAAGCTAATGACTAACAATATCCTAACTCAAGTTAAATGACCAAGAATAACATGTAGCAAATCCTAACTAATAACCTTGGTGCCATAACCTATTAGAGCTTCACCCATAGACACATTAAAGCCTAAGCCTCAATACTACTAGCATTATCTGAAGTTGCATGAAAACACATAGAAGGAAGGGTTTAATATGTGTGTGTGTGTGAACAAAGGAATTTTAAAATGTTTTCGCAAGAATGCTCTTTTTCGTCTAGTAAAATAATATTGGTAAATGCCAACTGGAACTCTCCAAGATTGGTTCAACAATATTTTTGCGTCTAGAAATTTCATCGCCTGCTTAAGAAAAATATTTCTTAAACGAAAATTGTTCTTTCGAATAACAAGTTGAACGAGTGTGGTTTTCGTTTGAAAATCGTTTTAATGGACGATAAGTGTTGGACGAAGTTTTCAATATATTAAGTCAATCAAATAAAGTGCATCTAAAATATTTGATTGTAGAGCAAGTATTTTTATATTGGTTCACTCAAACTGAGCTACTTCCAGTCTCCTTCAAAGGAAAGGTTTCAATATGTATTCAATGAAGTACAAGTATTCTTTGTTCAGCCTCTTCAGGCTCACAGTGAGTATTATAGACTACCCAGGTCACGACCACTCCTGGTCCCAAGTATTCTCAACCACTTCTAGCTCATCAACTTCACTCGCAGACGCTAGTATTCTTTACTCAGCCATTTCTGGCTCCCAATGAGTATTATTGACCAACTCCTGGCCCGTTGACTTCACTCATCAACGCTAGTATTCTTTACTTAGCCACTTCTAGATCGCAATGAGTATTCTCGACCAACTCCTGGCCCATTGGAATTGGTTTAGTTAGATTCACCTAATGAGGGTGAGACCTAACTAAATCAATTCCTTGTATTAAATGGAGCAAAATAAGCCTAATATGTAAAAATTAGCTTAGGCCCACAACAGGCCCAATTGCTAGCTTCACCTACTCACTTTACTATTTGTCACCCCACTACTACTACTAAAAACATGAAAATCAATGATCCTTAGTACAAGGTCAAATGGAGCAAAAGTCTCCAAACAACATACCATAAAATCCTAAAGGGATGACCTATAAGAAAAGGAAAAGGTGTCTTACGAATATAAAGGCAAAATACACCTATACAAGTATCTATTATATACAAGGTACAAGAACTCAAACTATACAATGTATGTACAATAAAGACTATGAGACTAAAAAGAGGAATCATACTCAATGCTCATACTGAGCATAGGTCTAAGAAGCACCTCCTCTGTAGAAGCCTCATCTAGCCCTCCTAACCATGGACCTAGTTAAAGGCCCAATAGTCTTCAAGTTTGAGCTCTCCTATGGATCAAGCTTCACCCTTCTTGGTCGTACCTCTTCCAAAGGGATCCTTGGGAATTAGATTTCCATCACTTTTTCTTCTTGAACTTGATCAACACAATTGAACATCAGTCTATCAATAATACTCATGATTACACTAATGCAATAGACATGGACTTCACTATATTATATGCATATGGCATCAAAGGATCTCATAACATGTGGCCTAAAGCCTAAATATTATAATTTCACAAAACTCATCATAATTTTATAAAACATATTTAATTAATTTAAAAGTACATATTTTTAATATTATTTTTAAACAAACCTTCTCATTTAATAAAACCATTTTAATTACTTTTCAATGGCATATTTATTTATTTTATAAAGCACATTTAATTAAAATATCCTTTTATTATTTTTATAAAATTTGAAGTGTTGCACTTCTTCGTCTTGATTTCCTGGTTACTCTGTTTAAATAAGGTCATATCATTGCTTGATGGCCCTTTCACCAAAACCCATATCTGCTCTCCATTCCCTGATTTTTTAAAAGACCACTCTAAATATACCATTAACATGATGAGAAAAAACTATCATTTTGCTCTTTTTTATTTTAATTTAATATATATTTTTGTCATATATAACAAAATCCTCAAATTTTGATAAAAAAAAATAAAGAGTGGGGGAGGAACAACTAAAAATTCACAAACCAAATTTAGAACTAACACTAATGCAAAAAAGACTTTTAAAATTAGTTATTTTAAATATTTCAATATGTTATCTTTCTGATTTTGTAATAGTCGATTTACTGAGTATAAATTTTTAAAATCGGGTGAGAACCAATTATAAAAGTCTTCTTATAAATTTGGTTATTCATTATTGTGGAGAAAAGATAGACACCAGAAAGGGCTTGAATAATTTATATAAAAAAACTTCACTTTTTCATAGTAAAGTAGTAATGCTAGTCAAATGGGGTACAAAGAGAAGTCAGAAGAAACATTTTGTATATTTATACTGGTTTGTGTCAACTATCAAGATTACG